TTTATTCCATATAAATATCTTGTTCTAGCATCATGTTCTCTGTTTCAGCAAATACTCTCTATTCACTATATTTTCATCATTTTGTGAATGCTGTATAGTTGGAATTGTATAGCATATAACCTCTGAGACGGATTGTTTTTTATCTTTATTTTTTTCTCACTATTGTGCCTTCAGATCCATCCAATTATGGTGTGTAAAATAACTCATTCCTGGGCCACCAGGTGGCCTGCTGGTTAAAGTGACTGGATCTCAGATGACTGACTGCAGTTCCAGTCTCGAACTCACCGGTTTGAGAAACATACTGGGGTGTGTGTGTGTGTGTAGAACGGAGAAGACAAGATTGCAGCATGGCTACCCCTCCAGGGGGTGCTTTTTCACTTTCTCTCTCTCTCTCTTTCTCTTTCTCTCTCTAGCAAGCACACACACACTGTAGCAAATTAAAAAAACAAAAAACTGCCAAAGGGCATGTGCACTCCCCAGAGAGACAGGGAGAGTATGGGTCACATCACAATCCCTTTTCCACTTCTCCCTCTTTTCAGGATTTTGGACACAAACACATACATGCCCGGTGTGCTTCCCAAGCCTCTGGGTCTAGGATGTGAACTGTGTGGTTGGTTGGCCAGGTGGGCGCTAGCTTCCTTAACCGGTATGCCACAGCCTGGCCTCAAAGCACTTTATAAATGTTACCAGATTTGTCAACAAGTTGGGGCAGGGGGAAAGAGCGTTCTTTACAGAAATAAGTAATAGAAATTAAAAGTCTTGGGCCAGAAGATTGGCTTGGAAGTTAAGGTGGTTAGATCCACACAGCCAACTCCACAGTCAGAGTCCTGGACACAGTGGCTTGAAAATAATACTTGGCATAAAATGGGAATGGAGGAAAAAAGATTGCAGCATAGCCATTCTCCCATAGGATGATTTTTAAAATTTTCTATCTCTCTGTTTCTGTCTCTCTCCCATGAGAATATGTATCTTATGGCAAAAATCTAAAAAAAAAAAAAAAGTCTTTATATACTAAAATCATGCCTTCTGAATCATAAGGCCATGTATGTGTACAGAGGGAATGTTTTAACATGAATTGGGAAACCTGGCTGGCTTGTAGCTGACTAGCTCAAATTATTTAACCCAACGCCAAATAAGATGCAGTAAGCAATTACAGGGAAAATCCCAGTTCTGTGCAAGCACTCTGGGCCCGTGGCGAAGTACCGAAACTTTAGCATGACCTCTAAATCACAGCAGGCCAGTAAGAAGCTGGCAGTATTCCTTCAAAGTGACTGTAGCCTTGGTAAGCAAGACAGTCGTACTAAAATGGGTACAATCCAATGAAACTGATAATGCCAGGCCTTTCAAGTTTCCCAGGAAACTAGCTCCTGAGTTATCTCAAAATAAAAAGGAGGCACGCCTGTGGGAGTAGCACTAGATGCTGCTGTTCGGAAGACTGAGGCCACATAGGAGGCCTGAGTTCGAGTCTCAGCCCACTCTAAAAGTGAGGCACGGGACATGTTTCCCAGTCCCAGTTCCTCGCGAGGTGGAGGCAGGAGGATCAGGAAATAGAGGCTGACCTGGGCAACACAGCGAAACCCTGTCTGGTGGCACACATCTGTGGTCCCAGCTACTCTGGAGGCTGAGGCACAAGAGGTGTAATTAAGACACCATACTCAAACACTACCACTACAACCACCAAAAATAAAACCTCCACCAGAAAAATGCGAAACAAAATAAAACAAAATCTCAACTCCTGTGAAGTGGCCTTTTCATTTTTTCTTTTAAAGCACTACAAAGCAGTGGCTATGAAAATCCTCGCACATGTTTTGAGGTCAGATACAAAGCTGAGAATTAAAAACCAGCTCTAGTGAAGTCTGCATCAGATTTCCTGAACTCCATGGAACTGTGATGGTACGAGAGTGGACGTGGGCTGCGACGGAGCTCTGTCGGGCAGGGCATGCGGAAAGGACTTAAGCAGCCATGCAGGAGAATCTTCAAAAGGACTCCTACGAGGCTCACGAAGGATACGATACTTTCTTCTTCTCCGATTTAAGGCAAATCTTAGAACATGCCTTTCCTATTTTACCCCACACCAACTCCATCCTTCACTGTTTTCCTTATTTGATTAGAATCATCTGGGGGATTTATTAGTTCCACAGAATAGATGTAGCTTGTCATCTTAAAAACATTATTATTTATAGGATCAAAATTAGAAATTTTGCTAATGATCAAATTTTCCTATCTGCAGAGAAGGCACCATGTGACCAAGTAGTCTGGAAACGGGTGCCTGGTAAAGGACACACAGTAAATAGGAAACTGCTCACATTCATGTACTAGCTTTAAGATCACTTCCTTCACAATTTAGAGCAATCTGTGTTGATAGAAAGTTACCAAGGAAAGTGATTTGTAGTTTTGCACAGCAAGGTCACCCTCAGGGGTCGGGCGCTATTTCTAAGCTGTTTTTGCACAACTGCAGAGTGAAAATATAAAAGAAAACTTTCATCAGTGAAGGCAATGAAATTGTTCTGTTTAAATTCAGCTTCCTACACTTACTCACTTATTTTAGGTTATTCTTTGTTATCATTATTTTTAATTTGACAGAGAGTATGTGTACTCAAGAGAGAGACAGAGAAAGAGAGGGAGGGGTACCGCCCAGGGAGATGGCCACGTCTATTGCAGACTCTTCTCCCTTTCTCCATGTTGGGATTTGGGGCATGCGCACATGAGCCCGGAGTGTTTGTCAAGCCACCAACCCAGGACTCCACTACACAGTTGACCAGGTGGGACTCAGCCACTTTAACCACCATGCATGGGATAGCCCAGGACATCCTCCCAAATTAAGTGTTTCAAGTTTCCTAAGCTCATCTATAATTTATATCTTATAATTTACACACACACATAAATATATTCTCCTTGAGTTAGTCTGGTAAGGACACAGCAATCCAAATATTAGGCTGTCGGGAAAGCATCATGTATTTTTCTGTTATTCTATGCAAAAATGTGTCATGACTTTACCGATGACCCAACAGTGTGCTACTGATAAACACAGGATAATGAAAGTAAACTTTTTTTTTTTTTTTTGAGAGATTTTTGCTAGAGGGCGCATGTGCTCACTGGAGAGACAGAGAGAAACAGAGAAACAGAAAGTGAGAAATCACCCCCCAGGGGGTTGGCCACACCACAATCTCTTCTCCATTCTCCTCTGGGGATCTTGGGCACCCACGCATATGCACCCGGGTTGAGTTTCAAGTCACTGAGTCCAGGACTCAAACTGCGGTTAACCACATGGGAGTCCAGTACTTCAACCACTATGCCACCTGCTGGCTCCAAAAATCAATTATGTTTATTCTTAAACCAGGAATAGATGAAAACGAAAATTAAGTAAACCCACAGGCCTTAGCTCTTGTCACTTCCTTCCCTCTATTTTCTGCTTCCCTTTACCCAGCTTTCACCACTACTTTCATACTAGGAGACGTTGACTTTCTGCACTCTCATTCGTCTCACAAATCACTGAATTCTTTCTTTCTCACACAAGAGGACTTCATTCGAAGATATAATTAATCCTACTAAAGCAAGAAAACATGGTGAACTAGTGAACTACAGGTAGAGAGTCCCAGGGAACCGGGTTTGGGCCCAGTTATGTGACCCTGGACCAATTTGGTCTGGTCGCACACACACAGTGAGGATGATAATGGGGCTGTGGTATGAGATTAACACATGTGAAAGCTCTGGAATGTTTCAGGTGACATACAAGTATGAGGGTCTCAGTTCCTTCATCTGCCATATGGAGTGTTCAGTTAAGTGATGGTTAAAGACTTGCCTTCTCTAGAAATTCTTTGAGATACATATTTGAAGTACATAAAAGAAACTACTGACAGGATAATTTTATAATTGCTAAGAGACTTAGGGAACAATTAACCGAGAGTTCTCATCTTACAAAATGAGTATGAAAGCAGGGCAAGAGATTCATAGAGCACGCCAGTGAGTCGGAAACCTGGGAGCTGGAGCAACTCAGACCTGACTCCCACCTCACCATTCTCACCTTGCTGAGGTTCCTGTGTGAATTTAGGAGCTTGCTCTTCACTGTCGACCACACAGCTTAAACAGTTACCTTCCTACACTGGTTACCAATGAAGCGTTTATTGAGAAGATGTAAATACGAGCTGGTTGAGATGATTCAACTGGTAACGGTTACATCAAGGATGCATACAGACGACACTAACAGCAAAGAGGTTCAGACCAAGCTGGCCAGCGCTTTGTTTGCTTTGTGTGACATTAAACTGAAAGCCAGAACATAGGATGTAAATCCTATCCGACCTTTTCCAATAAAGGGTTTCAATTTTGCGTCTGTCATTTAGTAGGTACGTGATGTTCAGCAACTCACTTTTCTTTGTTTTAAAGATGATGAATAATAATATCAAGCATTTCACCTGCCTGTCATATATTCAATGAGTCAGCTCATGTTAAGCCCTTACAATTGCAGTTCGCACACAGTAAGAGCTTACAAAATGTTAGTGCCCTTGTCTAATCTTCTAAACTTCAAGGGAATAGAGGCCCCCCACCATTTAATTTTTTTTTTTTTTACACTTTACTGGTAAACTCCCTTAAGCAAAATATATCTTGGACCTGATTCTCAACTTCAGTAATTAGCGGCTGCACAATAATGAAGCCTAAGTAAAACAGGCAGACTGTAAGCTATGGAGGCAAATGAGGTTTGCAGATCCAGTCTGACTGGCAGGCACGCTCTCAGTTTGACTCTCTAAAGAGCTTTTGACCTTGAACAATTTAACAAACCTCACAAAATTTTGTATCTTAAAATGAGAATATTATCTAGCTTTTGATCATCTTGTCATTCACATGCGTAGTTATGTTACAATGATTTTGAAGAGGACAAGTCTTATTCATCTTTGACTCCTCCATACGACCTGCAAGGTTCAAAGGTTTAGGATTTGCTGCTGGAATCAGGCAGGAGACTGATGAGAGGAGACGTGGTACGTGTAGAAAGAAGAAGTACCAACCTGGCTTAACTGGCCCGGCTCCAGGCATTGTGCCATTGCTGCCTCTTCCTTCCTTATGAATGACCTCAATGATCTTTTCCTACAGGAAGATACAAAGTGGGGAATATATATTAGCGAAGGGCATTTCAGTCACTCCTTAAACCCAAGCAGGTGATGCCGTGGTGAAACGACTGGACTCCCCCGAGACCCAGCGACTTGAAACTCACACCAGGCATGGGTGCAGGTGTGTGTGTGTCCCAAATCCTGAGAGCAGAAGAGAATGGAGGAGAAGGGATTAGGGCATAGCCACCTCCCACCCCTGGAGTGACTTCCCACTTTCTCTCTCTCTGTCTCTCCAGTGAGTGCACGCATCTTATAGCAAAAATCTCTCTAAAAACAAATAATAATAATAAAAAAAAAAGGAGCATTCCTTAGTTCCCTGTAATGCAGTCAAACTTTTACCTGTTCTTCTTGGACTTGCTTTTAAGCAAAAAAAAAAAGTGAACTTGTTTAGTACAATAGAGAACATCATTACAGGTTTAAGCAGCCAAAAAATAATTTATAATTTAATGTAAATTAATTTGTTCCTTCAAAATATTAGTTTAAAAGAGCAGCAATATCTCTGTCAAAATGACTTACCACTCAGGGATTCCACGAAGCACTGTAGTTTATTACATTATGCAAAAGTACTTTAAACATAATTTATTTATTTCCCCAGGAGACAGAGAGACAGATAGAAAAGCACCCCGAGGGTCTTGATGCCATCCCACCTTGGTCTCAGCTAGCCAGGATGGCACATACTACCACCTGGTCTGTCTCTGCATATGCCAGGTGTCAGTGACAAAGCCTGGTGGAATGCCAAACGCACAAGTAAAGTTACAAATGTAGCTATCCTTACAAAGAAGCTAGGTACCAAAATGAGTAATTCACCAGACTTACAGTTTCCTCTCAAATTCTGGGGCACAGGTGCCACTTAGACACCGCCCTGCACTTCCATTAGAAATGCATGAAAGAGAGATTTTCATATTTCAGTCAGTCTCCTGCATTCTTCAGGTTTCGGAAGGTATTGCCAGTCATCTGACACCTGCCGAAGAACTTTACATAAACTTCTCAAATTATATCATACTTCTATATTGTATGATCATTTATTGAAACCGCAATAAGATAACACACTCTTAGTTCGAGGGCTAGTCAATCTTACTCAAACATTAAGTTTAATACTAGAACATCAGATTGCTCTAAAGTCAGCAAGAAAGATGAAAATATACTAAGTTCAATGTTCAGTTCACAGAAAACTTCAACTGTAAGTACTGTGCTTTCTGAGCACAACGTTTAATCAATCCTTAAACTTAAATATGCTGGACACAGTGCTGGGAGGAACAGCCCATGAAGCATTCCCATATGAAAACCGAGGGTGAAGGTCATGCACCAAGTACAAGGGAGGGAACTACACTGTTCTCACCGTTCTGCTGACACAGAGCCTGCTGCACAAGGACAGAAAGCACCGCCTCAGCTAGGAGACCACAGAGCCGTCGGCACAGGACCAAGGCGGATGCACAGCAACACAAATAACCCTGCCATCCCACACTGGCGCGTTTCCGGAAGCAGGTCTGCCTTGTTTTTCACACTGAGCTCTACAGCTGTCTAAGAGAAGCCATCTTCTGTACCAAGAAGAGCGATTAGAAAGGTGATACATGCTAATGAGCAGAGAGTCACTGCGGAGTGTAAAAGTCACTGCCTAGGGTTGTAAGTGTTCTTGTCCTTGATGCCTAGAAATGCCATCCTCTGCTTTCGGGTTTGCACATAGTACAAAGTGAGACACAAAGCTGAATGCTCATTTTCAATGTAACACATAACACTGATGGTATGTCAGGAGGTATGGGTAATTCTCACCATCGCATAATACCTGTCATTTTAAAATACCCCAACTGATAGGAACCGACATTCACAAATGAAAGGTTAAAAAATCCTTTTGAGCTGTTGTATTCAAGCAAATTGGCAGATGCGAATGCCCACACACTGGTCTTCGATTACGAAATCCCCTCACACATAGACACTGTGATAAAATAAATCTCTCCTTGAGAAGAGGGACCGATAATGTTCCAAGCTTGCTAAAGCAAATATCAGGCATAGAAGAGACTGGCAGCCCACCGACACGCCGCCGACAGCCCGTCATGCTCAAGTGTGCTGCAGATGGTCATTTAGATGCTGTCTGTCAATGTCACCTGCGTCTCCTCCATTCTCCATTTCTGAAAAACCCTCTGACTTGGGGAATATGGAATCATCCATCTGACACAAAAGAGCAAACTATTTTCACTTGGCATGGAAGCATTTTTCACCAAAAAGAGAAAGTTATGCATTTCTCATGATCATAATCTCAAGCATAAATTTGGACTAATGCCTGCACTGCACAAATGTAAGAAATGTTCATAAAAGAGTAGCTGATTTTATATACACGCACGCTCACACACACAGAGAGTCAGTTCTTGTTACCTGTGACAGTTGGGTTGCATTAAATTGCCACACTCACTGAAGTGAACCATTGCGTCTAGGGGAAATGAGAAATGCGGAGTTAGACTCCTTGGAGCCTCTACTCACAGTAGTTTGACCCTATTTTTGTTCATGTGTATTTCTGTGAAAAGACATCACATTAAATATCTTTTGTCCACTCATTAACATTGAACTCTAGGGGCTGGCAGGTGGCGTGGTGGTTAAGGCGCTAGACTCCCACATGGCCAACTATGGTCTGAGTCCTGGACCTGGTGGTTTGCTTTCTCACACTCTCTCTGTCTGTCTCTGTCTCTCTCTGGTCATACTGAAGAAGAATAAGGAATAAAATTAAATAAGTAATTCTTTTTCTTTGGAGAGGTTTTTGCTATAGGGCCACGTGTGCTCACCAGACAGACAGAGACAGACAGAGAGACAGAAAGTGAGAAATCACCCCCAGGGGGATGGCCACGCCGCAGTCCCTTCCCCTCCATTCTCCTCTTGGGATCTTGTGCACATACGCACATGCATCCGGCGTGAGTTTAAGCCACTGGGCCCAGGACTCAAACTGTGGGCGACTACATGGGAGTCCAGCGACATAGACATTACTCCAACCACTGATTTGAGGATTACAAATAAATTGTAGCAAGTAGGCAAATTTATAAATATGGAATCTACAAATAAGGAGTACTGTATGTGTGTATACACGTCTGTGTACACACTCTCGTGTGACTAAACTGTGACACCTGACATCTCTGCCAGGAAAGACAGCCGGAGAACTCTTTAGTAGGAGATCTCTCACGGTCCACTTGGCATATGGGATCCCTCTGCCTGAATGTCCTTTCGGCACTCCAGGTTTACCAGACTGAGCTCGCCATACACCCTTACCCCACCTTGTCTTCAGCTGCACTTCTCCAATAATGGCACCATCCCATGCACTGCAGCCATCCTGTGACTGGGCCTCTTCTCCACATCCCAGCTGGGCGCTAATACACAGGTATTCTCCTGAACAACCTCTCAAAGTTATCTCCCCCTGCCCAAGCCCATGACACTTACCACCAAAAGCCCTTGTATCACCTGGACCGTCGCCAGGGTCTACTATCTTCTCTGACATCCCCATATTCCAAAATCATAGGCTACGTGACTATCACTGTTTCTACTCGAAAACATAACCACCCGGGCCCTGTATGAGAAACCTCAGATTTCTTGGCATGGTTGTATGTCCACTTGTGAGGCAGCGCCAATCCGGCTCTTTAGACTCAACCGCTGGCCCTTGTACTCGACAGACTCTATTCCAGCCACACGATTCTACGTCCCATTCTCGGAATACATCACGGTCTTGAAAGGCCCTTTGTGTGAGTCAGCCCTCTCACGGGGCACGCTGTTTCTTTCCATACTTGCCCCTATTTCTGTGTTGATGCCACCTCCTCTCAAGTTTTTCTAGAGAGCTTCCACCTCGGGCCAAGTTAGATGCTCCCTTCCCTGCACTCCCACAGTGTCTCCCCACATTTCTACTACATTAGCTCTTAAATTCAGTTGGAATTACTGAGGGTAAGTACGAAGACCTACAAAGCTGGCTAAACACTGATTACCACTGAAGGGAGGTTATGTGGATTCACTATACCATTGTCTGCTAAATGTCCCTTACAAGAGAGTTAAAAACAAAACCGAACAAGGGCCAGGTGGTAGGACAGTGGTTAAGGCAAACATGGACGACTGCATGGCTGGAGTCCCAGGGAGGGGGAGGAACATGCCAGGCACGTGTGTGGGCTAAGTGTCGAAAATCCTAAGAGGGGGAGAGATGGGAGAGGAGGGATTGTGGCACTGTCATCCCCAATGAGGTGAACTTTCTCTCTTTTCTCTGTCTCCAGTGAGTGCACACATGTCATCTGGCAAATGAAAAAAGGAAGACAGTAAGGAACAGAAACTTTATGTGATCGGTTCATTGAAAATCTGATGTATGCATGACTTAAACAAGGAAGGCATTACTTTCCCCCACACCCTAGACAACCAGACGTCCAGAGGCAGGACTTCCGTGGGTCATCAAGCCTAGGTCTCTACCATTTTGCTCACTGAGTGTGTTGATTTTTGCTTCAGAGTTTCTTGTTTAGATGAAGGCATCACCTCTGTATTCATTCATGGCTGGAAAAGGCCAGCGCCAGTCACACCTTTACTTGGGAAAAACAACAGCCTTTCCCTGTGTGCTCAACAAGCGTGGGCTGAATCCCACTGGCCACACGTTGGGTAAGCCAGCAGCATCTGCATGGCCTGATCTTCTCAAGGGTGGACACTGTTGTACTTAGCAACCAACCCAGTACTCAGCACATAGAAGTACTTTCTAGCTACAGAATGCATGAAGCTAGCAAAGTAATGTAGTTAAGTATAATAACTCAAGAATTCTGCTTTCCTAATTTGCTTTTCAATTATACAATACAAGGTGTCGTAACATTTTCCAGTGCTGGGACCAGCAGACGGTATAATGGTTATGTTGCTGGACTCCTATATGGCTGACTGCAGTTTTGAGTCCCAGACTCAGTGGCTTAAAACTCAAGCCAGGCACATGTGTATGCATGCCCCAGATACCGAGGGGAGAAATGGAGGAAATGGAATTGC